AGAGAGAGAGAGAGAGATGAGAGAGAGAGAGAGAGAGCAATCAAGCAAAGGCATTTACACAAAGTCGATAAGGGCGACTGTGCCCTTACAGTTAGGCAACAAATCCTCAGTCACCGTTTGCTAGCCAACAGCGGCGTTTTACGGGGCCCTGGCGCGGTCTGTCAACCGGCGCCTCAGGCTACAGGCCGCATGGCGCCGGGCGGCGGCCCGGTGGCTGCCGGCGCGCTCCGGTAGGCCGGCCGGGCAGGAACACATAAGATTTGGCACCAGTTTAGGCTAAATAAGAAGACGGTGCGGTAAAATACCCTGAATGCATCACACCTGGTCTTTGGAAGAACGCTGAAACACTCGGTCCACCATCCAACGCCTATGAACACACGTCTGAGCATCGAATTGTTGACGTGGATGCTTCACACCGCCCGCTGCAACGGACGTGTCACTGCCCAGTGCGGTTCATCTGTTTACGCTGTTAATGCTGCCGGTATTGACAGCCGAGCCGCCAGATCCCAGCGTTACTGGATGGGCATAATTGTCTCCAATCACGACCGGTCAGCGAGCGAGCCGCGAGGCTGTGCGGCACGCCATCGCACGGCAGGGCGGATCCAGGATCTCGTCAAGGGGGAACATATAGCAAAATGTCTTAAAGTTGGCCGTTGGATGCCATCAACACCAAGCACGAGCTCCATTCTTTGCTTATTTATGGCTGCCGGCTAGTTATGTAATGTTTTGGCTTTGACTGTTAAAAAGAGTGCAAAATATCCCGGCATTAGAAATGCATTAAGAACGTGATGCACGAATATACTAAGTGTAACAAACTCAATAATCAGCGGAACAAACACGCACGACGTAAGTGGTGTGTCAAACTACGTTCGACAATTGCGCGTAAAAATTAGTTCGCGAACATTCGACTGCTGCTCTTAGGCTATTAAGACGACGATTTGCCAAGGCAAATGGTCGTCTTGTGGTCTCGGACCTATGTGCATGAAGCAATTTAGTCGGACCTGTACACACGAACAGACGAAGCTCCCTGACGTTCGCAAGCACACGTGGGGTTTTCGGCAACAGAATAAGATCGTTCTGACTTCTTTGGAGCAGCCCATGACTAATGAAGAGGACCCCTGAGGATCAGGAGTGGCCCGGCCTATTGAGACTTAGGTTGGGGCGGTGTTAGTATAACGGTTAGGGCGCTGAGCTCTGCACCTGTCGGCCTGGCGTTCTGGCCGCGGTCACGCCACCACCGCATCCCACGTGATACCGAATAAATGCATCCGTCTCTAAAACTGCCTGGTGTGTGACGTCAAGCCCCAATCATTACTGTAAGACACAGGTCCCCGTCAACGGCGTGGGTCCTCCTATCATATGGGGAAAATCAAGACCAATAGGGACGGCACCTGACCGATCGAGGGTGCCACGGCAGGACAGCAAAGAAGCTCTCGTCAACAGTGCAGGGTCCCCAGAGCAAGCGAGAAGAATCCAGAGCCAATATGGTTGGGGCCCTGAACGATCGGCAGTACCCCGGCAGGCTAACATATAATGTCCGACCAAAGCACAGAGCAAAACAAAAAACATCCCCACTGGACAAAGAGGAATAGCCCGAGACCAGTGAACATGCATAAACGTCCCTGTGCGATCAAGAGGGGCCGGGCAGGTTAACCGAAAGGGCCCTGACAAGAGTGAAGGGTTCTCCGCAATCGAACTCAAATGGAAAGTATCGGTGTAAAGTTTGTATGGTTTTAAGGTGTCTGGGAAAGGAAGAGCGCGAGTTTCGATGAGGGCTTTTCGAAGACTTTCAGACGTGGTTTGACATATGCGATTCCACTAAAAGTGGTTGCTTTTTTCTGTTAGTTCCGTGAGACGCTCTGCGTTTTCAGCAAAATCTGAAATGAAGCGTCGATAGTGCAAGCACATACCAGTGAATGGACGGGCGCCTTTCACAACTGTGGCGTGATTCAGATTTCTAATCACTTTTGCTTTACCACGATCTGACCTGATCCCGCTTGGTGAGGCTATGTGACGTAGATATCCAGCTTCCTGTTTCAGAAATTCAGATTTTGGCATTTTGAATTTCAAACCTGCTCTGCAAAGATGCTCAAACACTATTTTCATGT